GAATTGCTTTTAAGCATTTATATGATTTTATTTTCGAAAAAAGAACCAATTATGTTGGTCACGCCCGACACATGTCACACCCGTCACAATTTAAAGTTTGACAAACTTCAATACATTCGGCCAGGGACTGCTACCGTTACTTATCTGCTAATCTGAAATGTGTCTTATATCTGTTTGTGATCAGTGATGATAAAGCTAATCATAAAGATATGTATCTCGAGCTATGCTGTCACAGATAAAAAGAAACCATTACTTCGCTTGCCAGGGCAAAAACAGTATCTATACCGGTTTAACAGGTAATAGCCTCATACTATTTAAAAATAAGGTACTTTACAATTACTAGGGCATACAATGGAGATGAAGAGCCCGATCAAGGATTACCCCGTCTTTAGGTGGCATAATCTTGTATGTGTTCGTAAAATCCGATTTTTTTGAGAAATAGAGTTAGTTTAGTTGTCTAATAATGTATTCATGCTCAACTTGTCACACCCGTCACAAAGTCAAGTCACACCCGTCACAGTTGAATTTGGAACATATAATGTATAATCTCCAATAGCGGTAAGCAACTTTGGCGTAAATGTTGAGAATGTTTATTTAACTATACAACGAGCTATTTAAAAACATAAGCAGAAGGCATAATTAGCAGAAAAACTCTGATGCAAGTGAGGAGTAGCTAATTTGGTTTGCGTACTCGTCACACCCGTCACAGTGACTAAAATTCAGATAACTCATTCGGATTAAATTGTTTTTGAAATTTTTTTTTCTAGGTATTGTGTATATTTCGGAAAATACTCGTTTTAAAGAATTTTGTATTACAATTCAAGAAGTAAGCCTTAAAATGTGAGTTGAAATGTCACACCCGTCACCGTGGAATCGGCAAGATGTACTTTACGTTCCCGATTTGGACAGAAATTTCGTGTCAATTTCGCAAGCAAAAGAAAAAGGTATAGATGCAATTTTTCTTAAAGGTGGTCAGCGCGTTATATTCCAGAAAGATGATCATATTTTGGCTGATGACTATCGTGAAAGTAAGCTGTATAGAAATAATTTGAAACCCGTGAATATTGCTCATTTGAACAACCCGACTTCAATAAAAGTTTGGGATGAACGCCTAGGTCACGTCAATTTTGAAACTTTACGTAAACTGAGCAACAATAAAATCGTTAAAGGGCTGGATGTTGATACTAAGTATCTACGTAGCAAATCCGTTTTGTGAAGGTTGCCCGATTGGTAAGCAACATCGTTTGAGCTTCGACAAATTTGGTGCAAATCGATCGAAAATTCCTGGTGAGACGTTTCATGTTGATTTATGTGGCAAAATGAGCTCGCCATCGATTGGTGGTGCTAACTATTTTATGTTATTAAAAGATGATTTTTCAAGATACTGTTTTGTTTACTTCCTGAAGGAGAAGAGCGATGTTTTGGACAAATTAAAGCAATTTTATGCTGACGTGTAAGCAGATGGTCATAGCATTAGAAAGCTTACGGCCGCTATTGCGAGTGTCGACTGGCAGTAGAATAGAAATTTGTCGATCGAGTCGATCATCTTTTATTTTGCTATTGTGTAACTTGATCGATAAAAATGTGTGCTATTGTGAATGGTTGACTGAATTATAAACAGCTGTTTGTTTGTTTACATTTGCTTCTTTTACATCATTTTTAAAATAATTGCTTTTATTATAAAATTTAAAAAATGTACACAGTTGAAATATGGTTTAGTGATGAGGAAGATGATGTGGAAGCTAATAGATTAGTAGAGTTGGCTAAAGCAAAGAGGGAGTTGCGAGATTCGTCGGATCCCTTGGAGTTGAAAGATGAAGTGTATGTACATATGTGAATTTTATGAATAGAAGTTGCGTTCCCGAAGCTTCACGGTTTTTAGGTTTAACAGGATTTGCAGGAAAAGCTGTTTTCTACATTAATAAACTTTATGGAAGTTTAAGAAATACGGTACGGTTTAGTTATTTGTACAATGATGTTGGGTATTTGTGTCCAAACGCGTGACCCGAGTTTAAAAACTTTAACATGCAAGTGTAGTGAAAGAATTAAACTTTAATTTAAAATAAAGATTTAAAATTTCCGAGCACTAGTTAATTAATAAATTATGCAGCTTTTTGTAAATTTTGATGTTGGTTCTGCGCAAAAACACTGTGGGTGGCGTAGGCGGAGTTATATGCACAATAAATATTGTATATCTTTCACAATAGAAGCGGAGCTTCCTACCCTACTCTTTCCTAAAATTCCTTTTCCTATGTCCTCATTCTCCTGCATCAGCTCGACCAACCGCGCAAGTGGCCTTTTGTTGCTTACAATTTTTGATCTGTAATTCAGACACATACATACATATGTATATTTCACAATATTTTACAACTTACAGATCAATTGACTTTTTATCCATTATAGTACCACTTTCTTATGTGAATTTTATAAACGCAAACTCCAACGACTAAAAAACAGCAATAGAAGGATGAGCGATTAAAAAGTATTCACTGTCGCTAATTGAGCGCCTAAGCGACACTCACAATAGCATCGATAATCGCTTAATAGTCGTTTATCTACTGCCAGTCGACATTCGTAATAGGGGTGTAGATCTGACGGTGGCTTGTAATTCCGTAACAATGCCGTGAAGCAGTTCCGCAGTTCCAAGGTATCAAACAGCAATTTTCTACTCCAAGAGCGCCAGAGCAAAATGGTTTTATCGAACGGCAGAATAGAAACGTAGTAGAAACTGCTAAGGCTATTCTACATTCTAAAGATTTACCATTGTACTTATGGGGTGAAACTACAAA